TTAAATTAGTCGAGTCACCATTGTGTCAATGCTCAACACCTAACTCTCACTATGAACAGTCTGCTCATCATATCCTCTGGGAATGTAGTCTTTGGTATAATGAACGTAATATAATGCTGAATACCTTGCAGGTGACATCTGGGGCGGTATACTATGGGGATCTTGTGTCAACTAGGGTGAATTTCCGTGCGTTTAGGCGATTCTGCCATACATATTATAGAAATCAAACATAGCTCACGTAGGACCCGTAATATTTGTGGCCGTGGTGCTTCCCTGTTTAAAAGGGTGTATGCCCATTTTACTTCATTTTGTCTCCCGCTTTGCTAAGGAGGGAAGTGGATTTACTGTATTTCCAACTCCTCCAATTTTCTTCTGATTAATTTCGTTGCGGGTTCCAAGACAGTTTAATTTCTTCCTGGGACTTCCCGAGTGTCATAACTCGGTGTGTTCGTGGGTCACTGCTGTGGATCCTGGTGTACAGGAGTTACAGTGGTGGGCGTGTGGGTGGGATTAGTCCCAACAAAAAAAAAAAAAAGTGAACAAAAAAGTATCGATAGTTAATATCGAGAATATTTTAGAAGTTTTGGGAACTGAGCAATCGTTGTTGAGATTAGCATTAAATCTGCTTGAACAGCTAGCCGAGATAATATTCGTGAGTAATCAAATATAGTCGAGATGAACACAGGTGTTACATTGTGCCATTCGTTTTTAACCCGTTATTTTTAAACGAATCACCCACGATCGCTGAAAGTAGACTGCCAGCAACCTGTTTTAGGCCCGCTCGCACTTCCATGCTGTGATTTTATCCTGGAATATACCTGGGGCAAACCTAGTAAATATATGATCACAGCGCACTACAGCCTAGTAATTCATCAACGCTATGCTATACGCGTTTTATACGCGATAAGTAGGACTAACCAAGAACAACTTCCACATCCAACGAGTTATAATGTTGCATAAGTAGGTATGTATTCTGATAATTAGCATCCATTTATTTAGTTGCTCTTTGTTTGTTGCATTAATAACTAAGTGGTGGTTATCTAAGTGGTTGGAATCCTTATGATTTATCTTTCAAAGACTAATGAATAATTTGAGCCCCTTACCTTTTTTAAATTATTATTATAGAGAGAGATTCGAATTGAGATTCTATTTTTTTCATTTACTTAATATGTTTTTCCTCTGTTCTTCTTTATAGAAAGCTGCATTAAGTCTTCTGATTTGTTAAACTTTTCGTCACTTTTTAAACAATACATAAGTGCATCTTAAACATAAAACTTCGAACAAGAAGATTAAACTAAAGAAGCAAAGACCAATAGCTAGCATAGAAACACTCCATGACACACAAGATATTAAAGCTGACTAAGTGAGACTTCTTAAGGGAAAAGAAACCCTGAATAAACTTGCGGCGACTTCCACAAACCTGAAAACAAAAACATACTGCAACGCCTTCTAACGAAGATACACCAAACTACGGAGGAATTGCTAATCCTGTATCGCGATATTAACAATTCTCTCACCGATTAGAATTTATAAAACTTTCCAACATCAATCGTTGAACCGCGGCCGCCTGGCTCGATCACCTCACCTGGTCGGAGGATCCTCACTTTATATTGGAGTTACATGACACCCATTCCTCCACAGTGGTGACACCGATGTGATGTGAACACACATCCTTCTGATTGGCGACGATGGTAGTGGCGACTTCGACAACCTCCTTGTTGTTAGTGTAAACCCCTTTTCTTAGGAACGTGTAAAGTACCATAAAGTAGATTTATTATAAAATGTTCTAAAAAAATCAAGCTTAAAAGTCAACGCAATCAAAAAGTACGTAAGTTCGTTAAAGATCATTTCACAGGTTCATGAATACCTGTAGGATCCTTTGCCATTGATATAGAATCACGCTTTCTATAAGTGGGAGAGCCATGTTACAGCACATATAGGGGATGACTAAAAGGGCGGTAACGCATTTGTTTTACTCTTCGAGTTACAGGTAATAAAAGTAAATTATCTTCTATTACTAAACTAAATGAATACGTATGTACACACTGAAAGTTTTTAGGAAATCAGTGAGTTTACTTAAACTACGTTTAAACTTATTAAACAAGTTGTAATTTTAATTCTAATAAAATAGTGGCACGACATGGGATTTCCTAATGAAGTCCCCATTGAAGTCTATCGTAACATTCTTGTTGAATAAGATCACTGGGCAAGTCGTTACAAGTCATTGAGCGAGAATTTTAAAAATAAAATAGTGGTTTTAGTTTTCAAATTTTCGCTCAATGATTTGGGAACCAGTAGTTACTTATTCGAAATTAAAAAAAAAAAAATAACGGCTGCTTTTCTAACAGGCCTATTATAAAAACTTTCAGTGTGACCCCTTCGCACGGACTAAATAACGTGTGTTGGGAAAACTTTTCTGCATTCATTATTTGACGTTTCCGGTATGTCAACAAATTTGAGACTTTTTGAATTGTGAAAATAAATTTTGAGATCTTACGTCTGGAAACTGTCTGGTGGTTGACAATAGTTGGATAGAAAATAAATGCAATATAATAAATGCAAAAGTAAGTGTTTCTGTCTGTGCTAAACCGCTGAACCGATTTAAATTAAATATGGCATGGAGATACTTTGAATCTCGAGGAAGGACATAACCTACTTTTTACCGCGATAATCGACATATACGCGGGCTCCGCCCGAGCAGCGGGCAAAAGGTAGTTACGCAATAAACATACTTACATTATTCAATAATAAATAAAAAAAACACGTTATTAAAGAGAAAACACAGGAATAGAAAAAACTTAGCATGTGTTCTCTGAAAGCAAACGAATTTCATTTGTCATTTATTGCAAAGATTACCATAAACTTTTCACCTGCGCCCAGTAAACGTAAAAATTCAATTCATGTTTTGGCGTACCTAAGGTAGATGTGTCTGTCGAATATAGGTAGATATACATTTATGTCAATAAACATTTCCTACCATATACTCATTCGTCTTTATTATTGCCTTTTTATAAAAGTATTTGGATGAACTCCTAAGAGAGGGGATACATATAAACGACTACAAATGATCGAATAAAAGAATAGCATGTTTTTTTTTGTTTTACTTCAGCTATACCAACAATTGCTTTTCCATTATCATAATACTAATCACAATAAATAGTTTTATCGAAATTTATTTAGTTGTTGAAAGATTTATGGTTTTATGGCATGGACAGAAAAAGCGTACTCAAAAAACACGGACTGAACACTTATTTAGTTACTTGTTCAAAATGTTTAAATGGAAATTCATTGATGCGTAAATTTGCCTTACGTTATGTAAAAGATGCAAAAGATTTTCCGTATCTTTGGTTGGAACAATTTTATGGAAACATAGCGCGTCCGCACCTGTGGCCTGTAGGCCATATGTCGTCAAGTCCTCTGTTCAGTCATTCAAATTTATTCAAGAGTTAGGATGCCTCGGGCTTCCCTCTCGCTTGACAATTCTCTACACCCGTGCACTAGCGCACGCGTCTCTTTAATTTGAAATAACGACATATGTCTATACAGCTTTCGAAAGGAAATGAAAACTTAGGGTTATAAATAGATTTCTTTGTGCTTTGTAAAAAAATACTTAACGTATTGTGACTTTAGATTTCGGGTTTAGTATATTTATTATCAATACATTTATGTTTGGTTATCTTGTCAGTTTATCTCATTAAAACAAAACAGGTAACGTATTACTTGACAGATAAAAGTTACTTCCATTTCATAAACCGGTTCGAATGCGCTGTCAGGGCAACCAAATATTGCAAAATAATTTAAAATCGACAAATTCGCTTTGGAATAAAGGGTCCCGGCCGACAAAACCCGCATCAAATTAAACCTTGTGCGACCTTTGAATCCAATTTAACTCTTTTACAGATAGCTGTAGGCTCTTTTGGAGGATGTAGTATTAAATAATTTATGCCCACATAAATTACTAAAACATTTTGATTTTCCTTTACACAAAGAATACTAATAAATTTTACAAATACTTACTTATGTATTGTAAGGTACATTACATAAATTCTTTGTGTCATATTTTTATGCATGCGAGAAAAGGGTCTTAATAGGCAAATAGACAGACAGGCAACAATGATTCTATAAATATTCTGTTTCCTATTGAGGAATTGAACCCTTAAAATAATATCGTCTAATGGGAACGTTTGAGAGAAACGTTGTGATAATGTATTACAGAATATAAACGTATTTATATATTCTAGGAAAGTACCGTATAGAGCCTTAACATTTCCTGATATTTTTTTAATCTTACTAAACTATTACTACAGATTATCCTAAATAATGACTGGTGTAGTCATAATTTAGGATAATCTAATTTCTGTAACAATTTGAGAAAAAATATGTCGATGTATTTTAAAACAACAATTCACTTTTTACTATTAATTATCGTAACGGAGTTTTAAGATAAAGACATCGAGACATCTATCTTAGTGATTTTATAAAATATAACCCATACTAAACTTGCCATTGCACCTCTCTTCAATTTTTTTATTGAATAAATATTTAGGTTTTGTAGAAGTCGTAGCGTTATGATTAAATTAATAGAAATGGCATTACATAGAGTATCCTAGTTTGGAGATCGGCTAGCCGAGATAGATAGTAATAAATAAGCAACAACATTAGGTACATTTTTATGAAATTTCAAAAATGCTAGGTTGGCTGATTTCTTGGTTTCATTTTGGCACCCCTATTGTTGCTTTGTTAGTCTTCTCATCAATATAAAATATATGTGATAAATGAGTATACAATGTACGCAAATAAAATAAAATTATGTTAAACATTCCTTAAACGTAAACATAGTATTACACATACAGCAATTGCAAACTCTCAAGAAAGGTAATTGCAAACTCTTTACGATTTTCCACACTGCGACATAATTCAAAAACGATTACCGAATGCCTTTTGAAAAACCTTAATCGCACTGAGTGCAAGACACCATATGGCGGTTGTGGCCATCAACCATGTCCAAAGACATAAATGGGCACGTTATCGTCACACTCGGAATACCAGCGCGCGGCGGCGTTGAGGCAGCCTTGTCGCGCGGGGCAGGGGGGCGGCACTCCCGCGCAACCTGTTGCCTCCGTCACTCCTCGCGGCTAGAGCCTCGCCCGCGCATGTTTGCCGCTCATACGCGTTTACACAACACCTAGTACGAACACTTGTGCGCTTAAAACCTTCAAAACAAACCAAATATTAGTGATAACTAAGTGAAGTGACAGAAACATCTAGTGATGTGCTCCTAGATAATGACCAACAAGGTAAATAGTGTTAGAAATATTTTGTTTTCTACGTTAATCTTGTTTTATGATCAACAAGGGCATTTGTAAGTTACCAATGCAACTAAGTTTAGCAATATCATCTCATTGATAAAACTAACGTAGAACCTTTGAGTAAGTACTGTAGTAAGTAAGTAAGTACTTACAATAGTCTTTTAAACAATATTATATTGTAGTATTTGAGACATGTGGTGTAGTATATGTGAATGACTTGGCCGTTATTACCAGCTGACCGGTTTGTTGCTTGCATAATATAAGTTAAATAGAGTAGTATGTCATCGAAACTTACGCATTCTTTACTTTACATAAGTGAGGTAAGTGAGATAGATTGTGAAGTGGCGATTTAATGACATCACCTGTAACATGTTCACACTCCACCCACCCGCGCACATGTCGTGAGGTCATGATACATAAATCAATGTTGAATGACAATTATACTACCTGACAATAGATTAGGTGTATTATAAAACTATAAGCGTTTTCTACAACATGGTTTTAAGTAAGTAGAAAAGCTCCCGGGTATTATTGCGTTGCGTAAAAAAAAAGAAGGGAAATAGTAAAATGTACTTATATATTATATACGCTTATAGATATATGTTACACACTAACATCACTTCCATTTGGAATATATCTGAGTAGCTATAGTTTTTATTTTACTTCTATCTTCCACATCAATTATCGTTTAAATGCTGAATTTTAGTCGTCGTCGCTTTAGATATCCGATTACTTATTTTATTTATTTTAATCATTTTATTTAAACTCCTGGATGATTGCAACTTTAGTCAAACTCAAACTCTCTTTATTTCATTTTTTTTTAAATGTTTGAAATTATCTTTTATGTAGACTCTAAAGTCATAGACCAACACACACAAAAGCAAGAATCTCTGTATTGTCAAATAGTAAGCAAATAAATTTATCAAAATCAAACCCATATAAAATCTATGATATGCCTGTGCCGATCTACAACCGCCCGTTTCCAAGGGGTGGAGCCTTATGAGAAGAAAGGGCAAACAAACTCATGGCCACTCTTTTGCAATTCACAGATAGATACAATAGCACTATTAAATATACCACAACATTGTTTTAATGTCCGTTATTAAGGACTAAAAGGTAAAGAGACAATGAACTGAAAACAAGATTAAGAAAAAAAACGAATAAAAGAGAAAATGAAGTGAAACATAAAAAATAGAAAAAATAATAAAAAAAACACTAGCCCACACTACATTTTTACTTAAGAAAGAAATAGCTTCAGCTAATTAATCCCAAGCGTTTTTGTCTTCTATGTAATCCAGAATTGAGTAGTAGGCCCTCTGGCACAAGCCACGCTTTATTACGGATTTAAATTTGTTAATACCTTGTCTAATAATAATGTCTTGAATATTATTTGGGGTTTTATTATAAAATCGGACACATTGACCTCGAAAAGACTTGTTTATCTTTTGGAGCCTAGAGGCGGGTATTACAAGTTTATTTCTATTTCTGTTTATAGAATGAACATCACTTTTTTTCAAAAAGCCATCTTTATTTTTATAAACATAAATTACATTTTCATAAATATACTGACTTGCCACTGTCATTATGTTTATTCCTTTAAATTTCTGCCTCAATAAACAACGATTGCCTTAATTATAAAGTGCTCGAATCGTTCTCTTTTGCAGCATTAAAATAGTTTGAGTGTCGGCAGCATTCCCCCACAGTAGAATACCGTACGACATTATGCTATGAAAATAACTGACGTAAACAAGTCGTGCTGTATTAACATCAGTCAACTCTCGAATTTTCCTTACTGCGTATGCTGCTGAGCTGAGTCTACTCGACAATTTATCAATATGTGGGCCCACTGTAGCTTAGAATCTAGTGTTATACCTAAAAATGTCGTAGTGTCCACAAGGTCCAGCCCGACATCCTTAATCATCACAGTAGTTTTCACTGGCTTGACGTTTGGCATAGTGAAACGTATACACTTAGTTTTTTGTTCATTTAATAGCAAATTGCTGACGTCAAACCAATGAACCGCTTTCGAAATGGCGCTGTTTACGAATGTGAAAACAGGAAGTGTCCGTTTTAGTTTAAATAATTGTGATGTATCATCTACAAACAACACAATCTCTAGATTGTCCTTGACAAGGTGAGGTAAGTCGTTAATATATACTAAAAATAAAAAAAGGACCGAGCATAGAACCCTGAGGAACGCCCATTTCTACCACAGAGCCTTGAGACCGCTCACCATTAATATCAACTTTTTGAGTTCTATTATATAGATATGAAGCAAGAAGTTCCAGAGCTTTATTTTTGATACCATAGTGCTGTAATTTCCTGATCAGCGTTTCGTGAACAACACAATCAAAAGGCTTAGATAAATCGCAAAAGATACCTAGAGAATCACGGGCATCCTCTCAGGTATCAAATATATCTTTTACTAGCTCAACACTAGCATCAGTTGTTGAGCGACCCCTTGTAAAACCAAACTGTCTATTGTGTAATAAATTATTATTATTAAAAAAACTTTGCAATTGATCATACATAGTTTTTTCAAAAAATTTGCTAAATACTGGTTGTACTGAGATAGGTCTAAAGTTAGTTGGGTAAGATGTACTACCAGATATGAATAATGGAATAATTTTACTAGACTTCATAAAATCAAGAAATATACCAGGATATTATTTACACTATCAGGATATTATTCATCTTATTATTTTTAATAAATTTACTATGATTGAACTCTCTATTAGTGTTCAAATTAATAGTGCAAAGGGTAGTCTCTATTGTCATAAGACAATAGAGACTACCCTCTATTGTCTTATGACAATAGAGAAAAAATTTAAATGATCTAATATGATAAGTTTACTGATAACAGTAAACTTAACATATTAGATCATTAAAATTTTTATAAGTGTCTAAAGGAATATCTGCCAACGGATTGGCAAAGTCACTAAGTTTTAGCCAAGTTCTTGGCTTAATAGAAAAATATAATGAATATATATATGATAGCGAAATTACTATCTGTCTCTTATAATAATTAGAAAGGTAATGTCTACCTTTTGTCAATGAAATATTATTACTAACAAGCTTGTTAGTGTCGATTAGATGTAATTTATTACAATAGGGTCCATTTATTTGACAAGTTAGATTTTGCATCGTTATATTTAAATTATATCTAACATTTTTTCCTTCTGCGACAACCCTTTAATAAGAGGAAGTGTAAACAATACAATTTTATTTACATTAAACTTTAACAATAATTCAAAGTACCCTAAGAATTTCTTTTTGTTTACATTTCCCCTGTTACCAACAAAAATGACTAATGAAGTATTTACATTGTGGTCTGATTTGGAATTTAAAACTTTTTCCATAATATCATTAAAAGATGAGTGAGACATGCAATAATTGCGGAATGATCGTCCCAAGTGTGTTTAACACTAAGGGACCCATGCTTTTTCCAATTTCATCACTAAACATCGCTATGTTATGATTTTTATACCATTTGTTTGTTTGTAAATGGGAATCCTTGATTTCAGGTACAAAAGTTCTGTCAGGTTGTGTTAGCAGCCAGGACGGAGCATATAAATATTACCTACATATTTTCTCCAATTCCTAAAAGTCAGAAATTAAAAAAAAGGAACAAACATTCACAGACCATTTGTAAATGTGTGTATGATCAGTAAATTATCGCTTCTAGAAAGATCTAGAAATATTCGTAATTCAGTAACTTGTTAAACTGTAAAAATACATAAACTCTTCCGTGCAAGTCTCACGATATGTTAAAGGTTAGTCTTCCTGCCGATCCTTCCCTAGTTAAAAAATATTAATACACAAAGTTGTTTTAAAATATGTACGACTATTTTTTCAAAGTAATATATAACTTTTTACTTGTTTCAAAAAGGCGGCAGGAACCAGTAAATATGAATATTAAATTCACAAAATATTTAAGTAAAACTGGTTAAAGTAGGTATTCATAATGTTAAAACGGAAACGGTAAGCAACAAGGAGAAGGAGGAGTTGAAGAGGAGGAGTGGTGGAGTGGATCTGGCGTCCACCGAGGGTGAGGCGGTGTTGGGAACGCCTATCTCGGTGGGGCTCCCGGTAGTAGTCTGTAGCAGACTGACTGCTGGAAGCCGAAGATCGGAGCGCTTGCGCTCCAAATCTGCCACTGCCCAAGCGAGAGGACGAATCTGAACCACTGTGCTGCGGCGCAGGATCTCTTCCTGCAAACCATGGCACAGTGGTCGATAGGTGTTGCCGTAGTCGCGGAGCCCTATTTTGTCCCTCCCCGTCCAAACTGGATGGGTATGGGGAAATCACCATTTATGGTGTCTATTTCTCCCCCAACCGGAGTTTGAACGACTTCGAGGTCTTCCTTAACAACTTGGAGGCCTCGATGCGGCGACTAGTGTCTGGGCACGTCCTCGTGCTGGGGGACTTCAACGCAAAGTCCATTGCGTGGGGTTCCCCTGCGACAGACGCCAGGGGCGAAGCCGTCGAGGAGTGGGCGGCGGCGGTGGGCCTCTGTTTGCTGAACAGAGGCTCCACCAACACGTGCGTGCGACAGCAGGAGGGGTCGATAGTGGACCTTTCGTTCGCTACCCCTGCAGTCGCCGCACGAGTAAGGAACTGGTGTGTCCTGGAAGAGGCCGAGACGCTCTCGGATCATTTGTACATCCGATTCGAGCTCTCCCGGTCCCAGGACCCCAGTAGGGGTCACGCGGCGCGGCGCCCTTCCCGCTTCCCGCGGTGGGCTGTCGCCAAACTCGACAGGGACCTACTAAAGGAGCAGCCATTATTCACTATTGGCTGGCTCCGCAGGCCCTGACCGAGGAGGTCGACATGGGGACTGGTCGCTTCTGCGAAGCGATTACGCAGATTTGCGATGCGGCCATGCCCCGCATTCGTGGTTGTCGGCCTCCAAGGAAGGAGGTCTACTGGTGGTCCCAGGAGTTGGCGGACCTCCGTGCGGCCTGTGTACGTGCCCGGAGGTCCCTCAC